TAGAATGTGCCCTCTTTAATCAGAATGAAACAATCACAGTTAACAGAGCATGATAAATATTTCTTAAAATTATAGCTGGTCCCCAGTATTCTATTTCTGTCCCTATCATTTCCCCACTGCTATTTTTACCATCTCATATCTATGAGATTTGTTTTAGATGAAAAATCTCATCCTGCCAGACTGCATTTGCTTCTGCCTCGATAGCAGTTCTTGGGGATGGAATACAGGGTCTCAAAATAGGAAGAGATTGAATACAGCAGTAAGCTATCAGACTACAAAAAATAAACAGGAGAAAAATTTAAGAGAATTCCCAATCCCAAACAGGTTAGGTAGCCAGGAAGTTAGGTTGGTGAAGTCAAATCCATAAAAAACACAAAACAAACCTTGTGTTTTACTTTGGAGATGGTCTCTCTAATCTGTTGAATGTTGTTTTCTATCTAGAATTGTCAGAAAGATTAAGACAGCACAGCCCTTTAAATTCCTCACAATCATGGTTATGCCGCAACAGTAAGTAATCTATTGCCCAATTCTCTAGAACTGTGTCCCTCCCCTGGCTCAGCTCCTGATTTATCCCCTGGATAGCCCTGGAAGTGGCATTCAGCGCCTTTACCTGCTACCGGCTAGCCGGTCACTTCTACACTAAGGGGCCTACCATTCCTGGCACAGCAAAGATGGTTAAAGCAATATCGTCAGCAGGGCTCCACAGGGGGAGGTGGTCGTTGCAGTCTGGTGCCACGGCCGTGAGAAGGTCTCTTCTGGTTCGGACCCTGTTATGTTTCTGGGGCATAAAGACTGTAGTTGCGCTAAGGAACGAGGCCCCTTGGTGGTGTTGGCAGGGATATATGAGTAAACGGTCACCCCACATATCAGAAACCAGCCGGCCGGCAGCTTAGTATGTCCATTACTATAAGGGAGGGTGAAGTTATCAGAACAATTCATATTGTAGTTATTAATACTGAAAGACAATAGCTAGAACACCCAGTAAAAGACATCCCACACAGGAAGCCACTGCAGCAACTTTGAAAGAAAACATCCCTGCACCCTTTCCCCAGACAGTGGGTCCCAGCATATAAAATTCCCCATATGTGACTTTCTTCCCAAAATGAATAGAATAATTTTTACATATTAGCAATCGTTGTCCCACTAGGCAAAATGTAAAGGTCCGTCTGCATAGGTCCCTCCACAGCCAGCGTCCGTGTGGTGGGAGTGGTAAGAAGCATGTTTCAGGGTCCCGTCCATTTCTCCTCCGGTTGGCCCATCGTCCTTCTGCTCATTCTGTCTAACTGCTACCACATCTTCCCCACAAGGATCTTGGCTCTGAAATCTTTCATGGGAAAGGGGCCTAGGTTCTCTTCAGAATCTACATGTTGAGGAGGGACAAAGTTTTGTTTCAGAGTCAAGAGATCCTTGCTCTGTCAGAAGGACAATGAGGCCTAGGCACAGAAGGAGGTGGCAATGGTGTCTGAGGTGGTTTCCTTGAGTACAAGTAGGGCTTGTAATCTGGTGGAGACGAATTGTGTTATAAAATTTAGTATTACTGGGCAAAAGTTAGAATAGCAAGAATTACAACAAATAGTCTGGTGAAAGGAAAAAACATTTCAGTTCTAATAATTCCCTATTGAAACACATTTTTTTTTCCCTAAAGTCACCCTCATTTTTATTAAAGAGCCAAATTAAGACCAATTTATTTACTGTATTAAGTCTAGTTACAATTTAGCTTGATTGTTTGCATGAACACAATAAAAATAACAATTGGTCATATAGACTTTTAAAAAAATGCTTTGTTGGAATCTCATGATTGAGCTTTACTTAACCCTACCAGGCAAAGAAGCTGAGCCACCTAGCGGCCATCAGGCTTGCCTGCAATACCTGTAGACTTGGGTGAATTCCTCGAGTTGAGGTCCCCAATGATGTCTTGAGGTTCCTTCCTTGCCATTTCTCAGGAAAGCAGCCTTTCTGCTTTACCTGGAAAGACTGCGTGAACCAGGTGACCAACAAGGGACGAAGTTTTCTCCAGGGGCTTTTATGGGCCTCATTCCTTAAAGCTTTCTGGGGACACCCAGAGTCCAGGCATGTTAGACATGACATTCCTAAGTCTTTGTTAATAAAACCACAATTGGAAACTGGTCTTATTGAATTCATGCAAAGGAACGTATTGCTGTGACTTACTGATTAAGAATTGCCAAATTCTGGAGGGGTCAGGTAGGGAGAAAAATATATAATTTACCATTTGCTTTCAAAATGCTTCCTTATATATGAAAAACAAAGTTTAAGAATCAGCAATATTTTTAACAAAAGTTACAAAAGCTATATAATTATTTTCAGTTCATTCAGTCCCATAATCAATTTTTGTTTCTCCTGATGTTTCCTGCCAGTACTTCTGTAAATCCTATTCTATAGAGCAAGCAAAGCATATCAGTAACCAAAGTTAGGTTACAGACAGACAGGAACCCTCACTAGCTAAGAGTTTCCAGCGGCTGATGCCTTAGTGGGAGAGCAAGGAGGGTCCCCTGAGTGAGAACTCTGAGCAGCTGCTGGGACGGTCCTGCAATCCTTGCCACGGGTTCCGCCTGCCGCCAGCAGGGGGCTCCCCAGAGTGGGATGTGCCCCATCGTTAACAAACCAAACAACAAAAGACACAAAACAACAGCAGAGACACTCTGTACAATATTTACAGGCGCGCACAACCCACAGACAAGAGCTTCACACCATGCTCCTTGTCTGTCCAGCCACGGAAACCTCAGGATGCCCTGCATAGAAACAACCACTGGAGCAGAGCAATGTCTCTCGTCCCAGAGTGGATCAGACTAAGGGCTCGGAGACCAGGCAAGGACCACTGGAGGTCTCTTGCCACCCAGCAGATCAGGCTCACCCAGACGAGAGGCAGTAAAATACCTTCGGCGCCATACACAGTTCATACTTCCTTACAAAGAAGTGCAGAGAGGCAGCAACTGTGTCTCCTGCTGTACAAACGCTTGATTCCTCCTCCTGTCATACAAACACGCTTGATCCAACTTAGGTCTTAGGTGAGACGGGATTGCTGAGGCTGCAGCTGGGACTCAAAACAGGACAATACCTGGCAGTGCTGCAAATAAGAGTCCAGGCCTCAGCCCCAGGAACCCCCAGTCCAGGCAGCGGGATCCCCAGTACCCACCCCAGAGGAGTCCCTTGCTTACGTCCCTTCGTGGTTGCCAGAATATGTAACCAGACAATCAATGGGTCCACGCTGTCTGTCACGACTTGAGCCAATTCAGCAGAGACAGGGTTGAGTCATATGAGCGTTTATCCCAACACTGCTGGCAGCATGGGAGAGCAGCAGGTCACCCACAAACATCTGCTCTGCCTCCACCATAAGCCAGCTGCTTATATTGGGTAGAAGGATGAAGATTACACGGGGAAGTAGGCAAAAGGTATGCCAAATGGGCAGTTCACAGGTAATGCAGGCTGGAGATTTGCAAAGGCCTGCGGGTATGCAAAGGCTGGGGGTCTTCAAAGGACTGGCAATATGCAAAGGGCTAGTGATATGCAAAGGGCTGGAGGCTCCGGTTTCTGCAATAAGGTTGCTAATCTTTCCATGATAATAGACAGCTCCCAGTTGGAGAGGATGGGCCTCATGTCCAGGTGAGCTCCCAGGTCCCACATTCAATTCCCAGCCAGGTTAGAATGCGCCTTCTTTAATCAGAACAAAAACAATCACAGTTAATAGAGCATGATTAATATTTCTTACAATTATAGCTGGTCCC